GTAATGGCGACTGTTTTTTGGGACAGTCATGGAATTGTGTTGATCGACTATCTTGAAAAAGGTAAAACAATATCAGGAACGTACTACTCATCATTGCTTGACAAGCTGAAGGCAGAAATTGAGAAAAAACGACCGCATTTGAAAAGAAGAAAGTGCTGTTCCATCAAGATAACGCACCGTCTCACACTTCGGCGGTCGCTATGGCAAAAATTCACGAATTGCAGTTCGAATTAATTGACCATCCACCGTATTCACCAGATTTGGCCCCTAGCGACTTTTTTCTGTTTCCTAGGCTCAAAGTTTGGACAGAAATTTTCATCGAACGAGGAGGTCATCACATCCGTAGACGTCTATTTTGCAAAGCAAAACGCTCAGTATTATTTGAATGGATTAAAGGGGTGGGAGCATCGCTGGAAAAAATGTATCGACTTAACAAGAGACTATGTGGAAAAATAAAATTGAATTTGACCGAAAAATTACTTGTTTCTATGTTAGGCTCAAGATTTTTCAGACGACCCTCGTATGTATATATGTAACATATAGAATTAAAATGTACATACATATAATTGCTAACTATATAAATAAAGTAAAATTAATCAAAGATTTTGATTGAAAATTGCGTTATATTTCTAATTGTATGATAGATCTTACTTTATTGCATCTTTTTGCTTTCAAAGAATTTATTTATACATTAACGTTCGTGATAATAGATTGCAATACAATTATGTCTCGAGCTTGTACTATAATAATGTATATGAAAGAAATTGCGACTATCGATACAGATTTGATGAGAATTAATGGCAAGGGACGACATCAATAAAAAAACCGAAATGATAAAACCAAGTATTTTCAAATTCGAAACTGACATAATATGGTATATTGCTTTCCAAGTCTTTCTATTGCACGCTATTGGTATTTATGGTTTATTGACTTTCAACTACTGGCAAAATTTGATGACTACAATATGGAGTAAGTATTTTTACGCTTTTGTTTAGGGAAATTTAAAAAGGATTTCCAAAACTTTTTGAAGTTTTTCTCATTCAATTATTAGTGGGCATTTTCCAGCAAAGACGCAGTGTAACACAATGAATCATTTCATCCTTGTTTAACGTTAGCAAACAACAAGGATATAATGGCAGTGTATCTGCCTCTTTCAAATAAAATCAAATTTTCAAATTAGTTCAAAACAGTTAAAGTTAATAATTCTTTCCAATCACATCTTTTTGTACTGCGAAAGGTATATTGATGAAGTTATTAAGTTTACAGTTTAAATTGTCAAAGAAAATTAATTTGATAATCTTTTTTTACAAGAGCGCCTACATGCTGTGAGTATATGGCATTCGAAGAAGGAGAATCAACATTATGAAAAACAAAAAAAAAATATACCGAAAATCATAAAATTTTCTCAAAGATTTCTGTGTATGTTTATTATAGGGTAACTCTGGTATATTTTAGCGGGCGGGATTTATGCCCAAAGCATATAGAGTGCGCAGATTGAATTCAGTGTACTAAATGAAATAAACGTATTACATGAAATATGTATCTCATGTCATAATACTTGTAATGTATGTAGGAAGGTTATGTAATAGGGGAGACCGGGGCTGTATGTTGTACGGGGTTGATTGTTAAAATGCTTATAACTCAAACAAGACACGGCAGAAAAATCTCTTTTTTCGACTGTAGATAGCTGATATAATATTAATTTGTTGTTTAAAATGGTTTACACTACAAGCATTGTATATATTATTTATAGCGATTTTTGAGAAAATAAAGTTGGTGAGTAAATTTTTAGAAGATCTTTGTTACAATTAAGTAATCATTATTCTACTAAGTTTGTAAATACAATCTCTTTTATTAAAAATGGCTATGTGGAATAGATACCAAATGAGACGAGATTAGACGACAATTAATTTTAATATCTTTAGAGGACACATTTTCAGAGAATATACTTACAAATATATTATATTTCATATAGATATATATTTTTTCACTTTTCATATAGAAACTATGGTACAAAAACAAATTACGTATTTTATGATTAAAATAACTATTTTATTTGTATTAATACTATAATTACTATTATTTCTCAAAATATAGAACTGATATTAAAATAAAAATTGTGTTTTTTATATGTGTTGTCCACATGACAAATATGCTACTGCCAATCCTAGAACGTGTGACAATCAACCAAGAACACGGGGTTAATTGTTATATTTTCGCAATATCGTTTAAAATTAAATAACTTATTTTTATTATATCATGAATTCACAAGTAATATTTTTTTTAATACCTAAAGGATGTAGGTATATTGTAACGTATATATTTCAAAATCAGGCATCCACTTTTTCCTAAAAATCAATAATCAAAAACTGTGACAATTGACTCCGGTCTCCCCTACATGTACGCCGCACCTATCAAAAACTTAATTTATTAAGTATTATTTACTATGTTTAAAGTAAGCGAACTATCAGAACGAACTATATCAGTAAAAATTTTGTACTTTCTACTACTATGAAAAAAATACTAGAAATCCGAAATACTTATTTTTCGTATTAAAAAATAAACTTTTTGAAACACACGCACGTACGCACGCACGCACGCACGCACGCACGCAAGCACGCATACACCCCCTTGCATTTTTGCCGTATATTCCAGGGAGATATATGGCTACTTATAGAAGGAGGGGGGGGGGGGGTGTATGTATGAAAAATTTACAAATAATGCATATAAATAAGTTGTAAAATGACAATAACTTATAAAATACGTTATAAAGTTTAATTAAAGAATAAGAATGATAACTATGTATATGAAGTAATAAATAATAATTACAATCTTCCTACGTATATTACAAGTGTTATAACATGAGGTACATATTTTATATAATGTGTTTATTGAATTTAGTGCACTAAGTTCAATTTGCATATTTTGTATGCTTTGGACATTAATCCCGCACGCTAAAAATGCCGTTCGTCTCAAATAGGTGGGATATACAAAACAACAAATTAAACAAAAATACGAAAGCAAAGCACTTGTATTTTGCTATACAACGTGCTTTACTATTCCTTCATACGTATGTATCATGAAATAACCACTTAGTCTTTTACACGCCCTGCAGTAATCATTTTATATAGATTATAATTTATGATGGCGCTATTTATTACAGTGACAAATCGATTCAACTCACAATAATTTCATCAATATTAACAGTAAGAAGCTGAAATCATAATTCAATATTAATATAACATAAAGGCATGTAACATAGAGTTGCGGTAAAATTACCCCTACTCCTTTTTCTGACTTCCGCGTAAATTCCGGCGTAAATTCCGGCGCTGTATATTTGCCGGAGTTACTTATATTCTCAAATATACGTATATATATTTGTAATACATTTTAAAAGTATCCCACACGTTGCTTGACTTCTTGGTTAAATATATAAACATAAATTTATTTTTTCATATTATTAAGTAATCGCTATGCATATCATATCTAATATTGGAGTGTCTGGTGGCGCTCATCGACTTTGGTCTCACAAAAGCTATAAAGCAAAGTTACCGTTAAGAATTCTACTTTTGATATGCTTTAGTGCAGGTGTACAGGTAATGTTAATAAATTTGCTATTTTACGTATATTATATGTACAAGTACATATGTAACTTCATCATTTCTTGCATTTATTAAGTAATTCTAAATTATATGTGCACGAAGCGTCTTCTTCTTCTTTACGAAAAAATCAAAGTAAACAATATCTGATAAAAAAGGTTTTACATGAAAACGGATCATTAACATGAAACAAAATTTTATGTAAGTGCTTAATTAGCATAAAAAGCACAAAGAATCAAGAAGTTACATAGGTTCTTAAATTTTCTTGAAAGAAATCAACTTCAATTTTATTACAAAATTCATAAAATATGTTGTTTTTTTTTAGTTGAACTTCTCTTGTATCGCTCAATCTTTCTTTTTTTCACTTTACAAAGAAAAAGAAGAAAAATAAACAGAGCAATAAATTCAACTAGAAAGAACAGACCAACAGCTAATGTCTATATTTTAAACACAGCTATTTATATTTATGTGTAAATAATATTTTAATTGTTTGCGCTTTTAGAATACCATATGCAGTTGGGTGAAAAATCATCGTATGCATCATAAATATAGCGATACTAATGCTGATCCTCACAATTCTCAACGCAGCTTTTTTTATGGACATGCGGGATGGGTGTTTATGAAAGAACATCCGGAATTTATTAAAAAGAGCAAGCAGCTCGATTTATCGGATATTTTGTCAGATCCTGTTGTGATTTTCGGCGAAAGGTAAATTTAACTAATTGTAGGCTACATACATCCCATTATTTTACAATTTCATTATCTTTTAAATATAATAAAAAACTCGGTAAAAGTTCCGATTATGGGACCCTTCCCCCATGACCTTGACCTTGACATATATTATCAAGGTCATGACCCTAAGTAACCTCCAACAGATTTTAGCCGTCACTCACCCTTCTCTCGTTAAAAAGTTATTAACACTCAAATTTTCAAAAATAGCGTCTTATTTCAGCACAGTTTTATTCAATATTTAAAGCGGGGAGGGGGGGTGCAAGGTATGGAGTGAACTGATTAAGGGAATATGACTTTCCACTCCCCCCTCGCCCCCCTGCAAAGGGG